GTACGAACAATGAAAAATTCTAGTTTGCTTGAAATTAAACAAAAAAAAATCGTGCCAATATATAAGTTAAGGACCATCCTAACAAAAGCATTAATTTCGCGAACTACTCTAATAAATAAAGTAAGTAAGTATAGAATTTCATAAACAATGAGCGTCATATGAATTCATTGTAAACATTTCTCACCAACCTCACATTGCACCCTACTATAAATACTTCCCTCCAATTTCGTATTGCATCCTACTATAAACATTATTTTAAAAGTGCTGACTGTCAACCGTAAGGCAACCCAAAGGTTTCCTATAAGATAATTGGTTGAAACAAAATTAGTTCATTACTAGACATCGTCTGTGTTAAGATCCAAAAAATTCCTCATCCCGAATAAAAAATTATAAAATAAAAATTGTTAAATAAAGAGAAAATAAAATTGCGTTTTAATTAGAAGAAAAACCCAATCAACACAAAAGTAAAAAAAAACTTATTTAACTTATACAATCAACACCAGCACAACCAATTAATAAACAACCATCAATTTATAACTAAAGGAAAGAAAATACTCGACCACTCTCGGGAACTCTAATCCGGGATTTTATTTTTGCAAACCATGTTCTTCCGATAGATTGTTCTCTTACTTGTCTGTTCTCGAAGAATATCAATAAAATGCTGTTGTTCTATTCAAATTTTCTTGCGTCTTGTATATGCGGGCTTGTGCCTTTGCAAAAGTAATAGAAACAAGAACAACATCACCAGCAACAGAGCTCAATGTGTGGTTAAAGAAAGGAAAAACGGAGAAAAATTTTCAAAGTAAGTGTTGAATCGCGCGGAGAATACAGAGGATTGGTTGTGCCTATAAGTAGAGGACTCCATCCGATACTTTCCTCATCGCCTTAGAAGATCATTAAAGCGTATGCATATTCACTATACACTAAATATAAACGACACAAGTGGAGGCAATAAAACCAGCAAATAAAGAATCGTTGCTTTTATGAATAATGGAAGAAAAATTTTAACAATTGTCTTTCTCAGGCCTTCTTGAAAATAGGATTTGGAAGTTAACCCCGTGGGAAATTTATAGGAGAAGGAAAGCATTTTAGGGAACTACAGAGGCGTACTCGTTGAAATACATTTCCACGTCCTGACCTGAATCGCTGCACAAAAAAAAAAGGGAAACGGGGAAGAAGCAATTCAAACAAAATCAAACACCCGCTATAAGAATAAAAACTAAATAATAACTAATGAGCAACAAAATTCTGATGAATCGAGAAAATTGAAATTCTAAAAACCTAACAGCACTATGTTATAAAATAAATAAAATTATTAGTAACGCTATGAGAGGCAAATATGGGTAGTCGTTCAATGGTAAATAGTAAGTCAAATGAGAATAGCTTCAACTAATAACAAAAAATTTTGATTCAAAAAAAAAAATTAAAAATGAAAAAAAAAAACCTAAACGTAAAACAATGCAATAAAATTCTTAAAGATATAAGTTAAAGCAAAAACGTTAAGCAAGATAGCGAAGTGCCTTTCCTTTTTAATAAAAATTAAATAACACATGCCCAAAAATATAATTTCTTTTGAACTTTAAAATATAACATCTCATAACTTTTTTTAGAAAAAATTTTCCTTTTACAAATACTAAGAAATGTAACATGCGGCCTACATTTTCACGTTGGAAGGCTTCTTATAGGCCAAAGGTTTCACGCATCCCTGTACTATAGGAATAACTGAATTTATTTTCCTTAAATAAATTTCGACCAGGTTCAAAATTCTGCAGACTACTTTTGAAAGCCCTGCTGTTATAAAAACAAAAATTCCAACCTTACAGAAGCATTTGCAAAATCTCTGAAATCAAAATACGGATAAGGAAGCGATAAACTAACTAGTAGGATTGTATACCATTGTTCAAAATTTGACTGAAACTTTTCTGTAACAATGCGATTTTAAAGACCGTGTAAAAGTCTCTGAAATAAAACAAAAACTTGCATACACTGTTGGTCAACGTATTGACCAAAAATTATCAATATTTCAGAAAAAACAATACATTTATTTTTTCAAAAAAGTAATGCAATTCCATACTCATAATTTAAAAGTTTCGTAAAATTGAAAATGTAATAAGAAATTTATGGTAGATGTCTAATTTGTCAATAAAGCAAACTATTTTCGACAAAAAGCAAAACGATAAATAAATAATAAGCGGACTTTTTAAAGACAATTTGAAAAAAAAGGTAAATGTTTCAATAAATAAATATTCGCAAATAATATAAATATAAAGACATTTATACAAATAAACAAATAAGTGATGCAAAAGTAAGATGGAAAAGTAATAAAAAAAATATAACCAAAAAAAACCAAACAAAGAAAAATAATAAAGAAACCAATACACAGATCGCCCAGGGATGTTATTCAATTGTGCTTAGGGGAGCTTGACCTGGACATTGCATTTGTGCAAGAGATGAGGAGGCGCTGCAAGAGATGAGGAAGGCCCAATTCATAAACCGAAGCACAAGCCCGAGGTCATTACACGTCTGTTAGAACTACATACAGATGCCCTCACCAGACAGCGATTGCTCTCTTCAGCATCTCATACGAAAAATGTAGCCGACGGGCTACCACGAATGAGAAGGGATTTTTACACCCATCGTCGAACACCGCACGTACCAGTGACGATACCGGCGCCGACCAGCAAAATGCCACCGGCACCTTACCCAAATAACTCGGCACCAGCTAACAATGCCAACGAAAGCTTCCAGCTCTCCATCCCGGGGCTCAAATTTACCGGCAGGAGAGAGACGCTTGCCTTCATCGAAGAGCTGGCAGAGGCATCCAGGGTCGACAAAGATCGTTTACCCGCTACCATGGTGGTGATGCTACACGACCGGGCCTTAACGTAGTACCGAAAAACCACCAACTCTGGAAGAAGTTCAGGGCTGATTTTATCAAGTTCTTCCTGCCACCACGGCACCTCACCCAACTCGAAGACGACATTTGCCGACGCACCCATCGACCGAAGGAGAAATTTCAAGACTATGCGCTGTCCTTGAAAGACTTGATATGCCCTACCGATGACAGAGGAGAGCCAATCTACATGAACGCACAATCCGAATACCTGTGATACGTAGGCCGTTGTGAATTTACCTCTTTAGCTGGACTAATGGAGCTCGCCAGCGATTTGGAAGCGATCCTAACGGGCAACGCGTCACGCGAAGCTCCCCGCGAAACATATAGTGAACCCCAGACAGGCGCTCGGCGGCGTGATCCACCGAACAACGGGGCACGGGCTCCGGATCCAAGGCCGCAAGAGAGGCAAATGAATACTGCGGCGTGTCGACGATGTGGACAGAGCGGACACCACCAGTAAAATTGACCGGCCCCCCAAAAGCTACACGGCTGAACCTTCGGCCGACGAGGTGTACGAAGTATCAACTGCTGTCGACAGGGAAATTACTGGGGAGCCCACTGCCACCGAGAAGTAATGAGCCCCAAGACATACTCGCCTCGCGAACAGTAGTATCCGCCAACCTAACGAATACACCATGCCCTTAACGCGTAATGCTACCAGACAGATACACTGCGATAGAAACACCAAGTCCTATTCAACATATCCAGCGAAACCACCCCCTGCAACGAGACGCAATGCCCTCCTTTCGTGCCGAAAGTTAAAAACCCGCTTCTCAGCGAAGCCATCCGAGAAGCCTCACTAAGTAGCGATACGAAACAAAGCCCTCAAGCCCACCGAAATCTGCGCCTGCCCCGCAACGAAGCCCGCAAGGATAGGAATGCATCCTCCGAACTCACACTCAGTCGTCCCCAGTGAAGCCAACGGCGCCACGCCTCAAACTTCAATCCACATCTGGTAAAGTCGGAGTCTAAAGTAGCTTACGAGATCAGTCACAGCAAACGAAAAGTAATAAGCGCTGAGATGTACTCGCCTCGCGAACAGTAGTATCCGCCAACCTAGCGAATATACCATGCCCACAACGCGTAATGCTACCAGACAGGTACACTACGATACAAATATCAAGTCCTATTCAGTATATCCAACGAAACCACTCCCTGCAACGAGGCACAATGCCCTCCTTCCACTCAGTCATCCCCAGTGAAGCCAACGGCGCTGCGCCTCAAATTTCAATCCACGTCTGGTAAAGTTGGAATCTACAGTAGCTTACGAGACCAGTCACAGCAAACAGTTAACCGGGTAGGATCCGGGTCCACAGCGACCTACGACACCAGGTACGCGCGTCCGCGGGGCAAACGCGCTATGGATTTGAGGAGGCAATCCCCATTCCAAGTCCTCACACCTAGCCAAGAGTAAGTCAACCAATTACGAGCCCTATAGTGGCCAACGATGACGCATAACTCGTACCTACCAACGCTCCGACATCCCAATGTCTAAAAGTCAGAGGTACATAGAAATAGACACCACGTCCAACGGCACGGACCTACGCTTCTGTGACATCCGCATGAACTGCTACAGCGGGCACCGTTACGACCACCAGTTTCAACGCTGAAGCCCTCTCCCGAGAGATCGAGAAAACCTGCAGGAGGGACGCGTACCGAGAGTACGTGCATCTAGCGGTCAGAACCGTATTAGAGACTAGCAGCGCGTTTACAAGTCCGGTGCAATTCGGAGACCGGACCACACACCTTCACATTTTCGTTATGTCTGGGGCAACAGAAACGTTGCCGCTAGGACACAATTTTCTCAAGCCGTTTGGGGCTAAGTTGCAATGCGCGAACAAAACGGCTGCGTGCCGACCGAGCGGGACCCCGCCCAAGTACCTGAGGCGGAGCCTGCAGGTGAGACGATACGGACCCCGGTGCGTAGAAGGGCCAATGCGTTCCCCGAAAGTCCACAAACTACAACACATGACCATAATACGACTGAGGGGTCGCGATTCAGGCCCCTGGAAGAGAGAGAAGAAATTATGCGTGCCAACACCCATGAGAGCCGAGATCTTCTAATAGAACCATGACGACCCCACAGCGGGACACCTCGGCATACGTAAGACGATACAATGAGTTTGCAGCCGATACTATTGGCCTGGGATACACCGAGACATCGCACGGTACGTACGAAATTGCTTGAGCAGCCAACAATATAAACCACTTCAGCAGAAGCCGGCTTGAATTTTTTGATTTTGATTGATTTGTATATGTTGAGCATGCTAAGAAAAAAACAAAATATATTGGCTTTTTTTTGTATTACTAACCATATATGTTGGGATGAGGATGAAAACCCGTTTCACGACATTCAGCAATAAAATTCAGATCATATGTTGGTGTAAGTATACAGAAACCATTACTGCCGTGTACAAACAAAGTTCGAGTTACAATGAATACAATTTTGCAAGATATTTGAAGATTACGTTTGATAATTTGGCGCACAAACTATGGCTATAGCCTCAGGCATCATTAACTGATGTGAACAGTGCGTATGCAAATCCACCGAATATAGAAATGTTATTTGACTCGGATATGTCTGTAAATTATTTGAACATTCTTTACACAATTCGACTCTTAAAATATATATATAACGTTTTCTACGTATGTATATCCAATCTAAAGTAATTACGTTTTTTTGATCTTGTAAATCAAATATTTCCTCTTCACTCATCGTGGTGCACGAACCAGCATTCCCATATTGCTTCGGTATTATGCCATGCGTAATGTACAGACGATTTTGAGATAAAAGACCGGCCGGTATACGGCAAGCCTCTACATTTTTATCTGTATTCTCCTGCGACAATTTAAGAAACAACTCCATTGTTTTGTGGTATGATAACGGTACGCAAAGAACCCGCCAACAGTGAGTCTGAGCGATTGCATTGTGGCCTTTGGCTGCGATCAAAGGATCAAAGGTCAAGCATCCCCTTGACATTCATCAAGAAAAAAAAAAAAACCCGGAAATAAGTAAAATGAGAAAAAATTGAAATATTTGAAAAAAGAACAATAAATAAAAATAAAAAACGAAAAAATGTCATATAAATACAACTTGAATTTTTTTGCTCATTTTGTACGTTTGTTTTTCTCATCTCGAAAATCCTTTTCAATCGATAATAGGAGATGATAATGGTTCATTAGTTTTTGACGTAATTTCTCGAATTTGGGCATAATTTCCTCTTTGATCAATTTATTAATGATTTTCGTTTCGGCACGCTTTCAAAATCCGGGCCTTTACGTATGTTTTCAACAAACAACGTTAAATACTTCATATATAAAATAAAAGCGTTGTCATGATTGCCTTCAGCCACACATACATTGAAGGTAGATTTAATGCTATAATGGTCGCCAGTATACCCACAATAATAATAGATACCCACTTAAATAATTTCCACTTCGGATGCCATTGTCGAAAAATCAATTGATAAACATTCCTGGCAAACATTGAGGCAGACGATAATACCGAAGAATCAGCGGCGGACATAACCGCAGCACTGACAGCACCTAGCCCGAAGGAGGATACAAAATCCGGTGTCAGATATTGCAAAACCATAGGTAAAATCATGCTAGTTCCTTGTTCGGCTAGAGAATAAGGTCCTTTGCACACAGTTTCGTTCCACACTAGAGAATAAAAACCGTAAGTGATATTGTAAAGAATATCCAATGCTTTTTATTTTATTTACGAGTAGCTTTGGAAATAGGGCCTATCAAAAACGTTGGGATAGCCATTAAAATGGAACCGAAAACAGCTACGTAGGATAAAAGCTGTGCACGACCTGCAGTTTTGCTGGATAGAACGCGTTGAAAGTATAGCTACAATACGACGTGGTAGAAATCAAAGCGGACGTGTTTAACTATACTTTTTTAAGAACCCACCTGCCATGGTATATTACCGAACACTAACATTACACCGTAATATTTGTAAAACTATCTTTGGTTCTGTTCCACTTCACCAGTCCATTCGACCTCCATAGATGACAGACCTTTGACATGTTCGTTAGTACGCTCATCCATAAGCCAATGAATATACAAAATAATTGAATAACATCCATGTAGGCAACAGAGTAAAGACCTCCGAAGAGCGTATAGAAAATGGCCATGCAGGAAGATAAAATCACCGAAGTTTTATGATCCATGTCAATGATAACAAAGAGAGTTGCCCCTAATGCCTCCAAAATACCGGCAGCCCAAAATATTTCACCACATAAAGCCGGTAAAAATAGTAAACCACCGAAGGAATCTTGCAAAGGATCTGTTTTAACGTCTTTTGTCGATTATCCCGAAAATGTCACTTATCGGTCATTGTAAAAATGCACACAAAAACTCGAATCGATTGACCTGCCAGCATAACGTCCTCCTCAGAATCATTGACCGATTCCTTTTTCCGTCCAGCCCATATACCCACATCTAAGACAAGTAAATAGAACATCACTATGCTCACAACGCCCGCAATGTTTGTCATTTCGGTATTGTTGCAGTTGTTAGTGGTGGTGGTGGAGGCAGCGTTATCGTTAGAAGTGCTTTACCCATGTACATACGCAGATTTTTTGATGGTCTAGTCACGTAATAGCCTTTAATTTTAAAAAGCGTACCGCATGCGGTAAACGTTATGATCTTGGTGAAAATCTTTTTCTGTTGTTTTTGTTTTGCTTTTACGTCAAGATTAGTTCGCATTTAACTTCCCTCATCCATTTCGTCGATGAATTTTAATACCTGTTTGTTATGATGTGAAGTTGAGACCATTGTGACCTTTATCAAGTACGAAAATTATATTCATTCGTGAGCGAATCTTTTATACCATCGTTACCCTAAGAGAGACCAAAAAAGTAAAAGAACTAAATGTTCATGCCCTATAATGTGGAGTGAGAGAGGCCTATTTTTTTGTTTTCGAAAAAAATTTTACGTGACATAGGCGTAGGGATGTGGCCCACACAGCGATATCTTCATTTTCGCTGACGGGAAAATGTTTACCATAGATATGTTTTTTTCTCTCCCATAGGTGGAGGACTGACGCAATGACGCAATATTACTATTTACGAGTTTGGACTTCAATTTTGCCGACTTTTTACAAAGCTTTATAGGAGTTGATAAACCAAATGGTTTTGTATGTATATATAAAAATAAAATAAGAAGAAAACAACCCAAAAGACAAGGGCAATTGAAGTTAAATTTAGAAATTTTTTGTAAGATAAAAACCATTCTATTTAAAGTTGAAATATATTTATGAAACTTTTTTTAGAGAGTGATATGATAAATGATAGTTTCCAAATCGTGGGTCCATTAATAAACAAAAATGTCGACATACATCTTATCAGTTTTCTTTATCACTAATCAATAAACAAGCTTGTTTACATTTATATTAACTTTCTTATTGTTATTATTTTTGAAAGTACGTTGTTTACGTTTGTGGCGATTTCTTTGTTTTCTGTCTTAAATCCAGTTATTTTTGTTTAAATTTTCCTGTTAAACAACATAGTGAGGCAACAGCTCATTATGTTTTCCACTTGGGAGTTATTAACTCGAAAACGAAAATGGCGCCTCATTGTGTGAACTCTTTTTTTCATGTTTTTGACTATGTAACTTTCTTTATTGTATTTTGTCAACATAGTGCCCGCAAGTAGGTCAGTTGCAATCTTGTATATCTCATCCTTTCGACAATTCGTTCACATATTTCTGCTGAAGTAACTTAATCCGCCCGGTCTCTCCTTCGCGCTGGGTTTCCATTCCAAGATAGCAGCTAATTGAACTACCATTAATAATTTCGACATATTCATTTAGCTCTCGTGCTCTTACTAGAACAAGAAATCAACATGTCATCTATATATATAGCTATAATATTAATTTGCTTTTTTCAACTTTAACATATAGGCCGTGATCGGTTTTGCAATGGAGAAAACCCATTTTATTTAAAATTTTATTTACATTCGCGTACCATTATTTTCTGATCTGCTTCATCCATTCAATGGTCTTTTGAATTTATTAACTTCTGTGGAACTATTTGCATCTACAAACATTTTATGTTGATGCGTAGACACTTCTTGCTTAAGATTTCTATTCAAATGACCCGAGAACACGTTCAGGTGATTAAGATACAATTTGTGGCCTGCTGTGAAAGCTAAAAGCATCCTTATGGTGGGGTGTCTAACAAAAGGCTCATAGGGTTGATTGATATCTACATAGGGCTTTTCAAAGCATTCTTGCACCGTAACCTTAGTTTTAAGTTTGTAAATCAGCTCGTCTACCTTATAGTTTAAGCAATTTTGGTCTTCCCTTTCTTTTCTTTTGTTCCTGTTGTGTTTCTTCTTGTGGTATATTAACTTCAGCGGTGCTGAAATTATCTTGTCTACTTTGTAAATTTTCGTTTGCAAGGTGAATTTCGTTTTAAATTATTTCGAAGAGGAACCAATTATGTGAATTTAGAATTCCCTCTCTCTTACTATTTGCGGAAGACTTTCCAAAAAATTTCACATCAAGAGATGTAATTGTAAGCTTTGTCTTGTGTAAATGATAACCCTTTCAATTAAATGCTTAGCAAAAGAATTGCATTGTACAATCTTTTCGTTTAAATTTGGAGCGATTTGGTTTTTTATTTATTGTTACAACCTTACATCTACATGCAGCGATCTGTATGCCTTCTGCTTATGGAAATTTAGGCATTTTGGAATCTTGCAACAAACACCGTACCTTTTCAACCAGTGTTCTATTACAACGTTAGGCTTTTCTATTCTGCGTGAATTGTTGTTTCCTGAATTATATGGGCTTCTCGGAAAAAATTTTAAACTTCTTCATTAATACATTCGCGACCGTTTCTTTTCTTCAATCGATAACCCATTCGTTTTTCCACTCTATATATGTATCCAGTCTTTTGTGCATCCAAAGACATATAATTTGTATTTCAAAAAGGTTCATTGCAATGTATTGCGAATACTATTATCATTATTATAATTTTAGACTAATGAAATAAATTCTTAGACTAAAAAAAAAGCTTTGAGCACTAGCAACACAGGCTATCGGCTCTAATTTAAATAAACGGATATTAGGTAATGAGCTTAGTAGTATTAAAAAAAAAATATATTGAATTGATATTCTGTTCTAAAGCTGATTGTAGAATGTTCAAAGGGTTAATCGTTCCAAATGCAATACTTCTAGCCAAACAAAAGTTAAGGAAGTCGCAGAGAATGTGCTTTATGGTGAGAGTTTGCCCGCAACTGCAGATTGGGGAGGAAGACTTCTTCAAGATCCATTGGTGAGCTGTAATTGTATGACCAAGGCGAATTCTCGAAAATGTTTGGATCTTCGTTTTCTCAACATTAGTTGGATATAAAAGTGGAGTTAATTAAGGGTTAATGGAAGAGTAGTGTTGATGATGGTATTGTAAATTTTCTTCTGCAATTTTCTCTTTAACTTTTCTTCCAATGTTTCTTTGAAGATCCAACTTTTCCATGACATCGTCCATAATTAGAGGAGTAGAAGCAGCGTCCTTTGCCGCTCGATCAGCCTGCTCATTTGCCAATAAACCCATGTAACTTGGTACCCATAACATTTTAATTTTTCCTTTGGGTGTTGTAACTATACTCCTTAATTTGTTGATGGTGCTCCAGCTCGAAGTCGAAGGGTTCCGGGTAGCTTGTAATACAGACAAACTGTCGGTAACAATGACGGTTTTGAGTTTGTTTTTATGGGCAAGGTTCGCAGCGTGAAGGATAGCTCTGGCTTCGGTTATGAAAGTTGGAGTACTTTCGTGAAATATGTGGTTGAGAAGAAC